GGAATATGCTGGATAAAATCAATGCTTTCTTGTAGAAACATTTGGTTTACAACTTGCGATGAATAGCTTAAGGGAAAAGGTTATGCTTAGCTGCTGTGAAAAAGGGAAACAATAAATAAAATTACCGGTTGTTCTATGCCCTTATGATGCAATTAGAACCCAGTGTCTTTTTCTCTATATCACACCACAAGTTGGGAGCTGGGAGCAAGGAAATGTGCTTAAAATGGCAAATAATAATGATGGTATGATAAAAGTGTATAAAATTATGCACAGTGTGAGGAGAATTGCTTTTTCTCAAAATACAGAATCATCTAATGAAGCTGAGTAGGGAAAATTCAGAAGAGGTAAAAGGATTTTTTTTCACACAGAACTGTTACGTTATGGAATCTGTTGTTGAACAATATGGTAATGACCAACAGCTTTAATGTGGGATTAAACACTGGCAAATAAGGCACTACTACTTAATCACCTAACAATTTTCCTTGATTAGTGGTGTCTGTGGGAGTGGGGCAAAGGGAGTCAAACTGACAGAAGAAGTATTGTGGCGTTGTGATGCAAGTCCCATCCCTTTTATACACATGTTGCAACAGATCTACTTCTCTCAACTTCTTCTGAGCTGATCAAAAGAGAAACCAAAATGTTCAGATGTTTGAATTATACCAGGAATGGAACAAGTTTCTGGTCATGGAAAAAAACTGGAGAAGAGGTCAATACTGAGCTTTATACTGGAAAGCACTGGCGTCATCAGTGGAGAATGATATATTTTGTGTAAAAGGAGCATTTGGCTGGCATAGTAACATGGATGATCTCTTAGATTTTCAGATTTTTCTAGGGGACAATCTCATTGAGAATAAAGGAAGTCTATGAGCAACCCTATTTTTGTCTGAATATCTCAGTGACACAATCAATTTGACCTCCCTGATTGGCTACCTGATGTCCTCATTGTTTCTACAGACTATTTTCTTTAAATAAGTGCCAAACCTGCAACCAACTGGGATTTCGAAGGGCAACAATGTAGCACAGACAGGAAGGTTGATTTGATGAGTTTCACCCATTAAATCACTATTTTTGAAGAAGGGGGGGGGGAACTGAAAAAGTATTTATGATTTTGTACAAGTAATTTGCAGAGGCACTCTATTCATAGCAGTGCCTTAAGAAAAGTGTGGTGTCTCAAAGGATCAATATGGTTGCATCCCCCCTGCCAAGTTTGGCCACCTAAAGGGACTTCCCAGGTCATCTGTGCACACATGTACACACACACCTCTGCCTGGATTAACATTAAAACAAAGCAGCAATTATTTTGTTTTACCACCAAGGAGATAAAGATGAACCGAAAGGAAGGAGTATAGATATGTTTATTTATTAAACTCTTTGTGCTACCAGTTACCAAAGTTTATCAGTGGTTTACAGTAAAATTATTAAACTAATGTTAAAACCAGTATAATCAGCAATTAAAGACTTGTTCAAAAAAAATGAGTGAGCATCCTCAGATCAACAGGGAGCACATTCCAAAAGCTGTAAGGGAAGGGTCACCCCTAAACTGTTAGGAAATTAATTTGCAGGAACCAGACATTAACCTCCTCAGGTCACAATTAGCGGGATGGGGATGGAGGTGAAGGTGGGAGAAGGAGGGTTACGTAGAACACGTTCTCTCAAGCAAGTTGGCCTAAGCCATACTAGCCTTTAAAGGTAAGAAGCAGCACTTCAGATCTGAAAACAAAGTGGCAACTAACACAGTGCTTTCAGCACAGCTGGAGTAAAGTCTCTGAGTCCTTCCAAACCACAAGTAGCTAAGGTCTGGTTGAGTCCTACCAGGTTCCCTACTTCCTATCTATCTGTAGCCTACAGATTTGGTAAAAGTGCCTGCTGTAGAAATAGTTTAGTAGTGCATGGGCTGGCTAAAATGAGTAATGAAACAATAATGAGAAAATAGGCATTTGACCACTCTTGGTTGTTCAGTACGGCTTCTCCTGGGTTGCTTTTCTATAATGAAATACAAGAACAATATTTTTATTTGTAGAGGGGAGAAGTCCAGGGAGCAAAGGGAAGGTGGGGGACAATATATCTATTGGCCTTGGCAGCCCGGGAAGCACCATGGAGTATTGGTTGGCAGTGGCCCAGAAGAAGCACCCATCCCCCACAGAGTGCCTGGCATCTACTTAGGGAGGCCCGCATGATGCAGACCTACAGCTCAGGAGAGCTTTTGACAGAGGAAGAAAAATACGTTGTTCTGTTTGTTGAGTGCCTTCCGCATATGCTTTTGGTTAACAAAAATGCAATAAAATATTTGGGACAGTGAGCAGAGTTTACAACAGTCATTTACTGTAATCAGTCTAATGTTTCAGGCATCAATGAGGTTAACTTGTTTGTATTTAATGTTGAAGTAATTACTCCCTAATTACATCAATTTGCCTTCTTTTAAAAAAATTAAGCCAATGCAATAAACCTTTCACTCTCTACATTAAAAGAACTTTTTTGACACCAGTTTTTAATATAAGTACACTAGCTACATAATATCCTAATGTAAATATATCAGGTGTATTTCTAAATTATCTTTGTCAAGGAATAACCAGCACTAATCTGTCCTTTCTGGTAGACTATAAAGAGCAAAACATCTTTGGGATATGTCAAGCTGAGTCATCTTGCCTGATTTAAAGATCTTTAATTTGTTTCTTCTAGCACAAGAAATCTGTCAGCAACCTTCTTATATTTTCTTCCTCCTGTTCACTCACATATTTTAAAACCCATTTAACCTCATTCTGTCCTAGTGATATTTTATTTCAGTGCAGCTCAGACTGACAATCATGATAAGGTCAGCAAAATATGTATAATTGATTGAAATTTCATTCCTGATCATCTCTGAGCCTAGCCAAAACTTTTGTACCCTTCGGGGCTTGCAAACTGACTATTGCCTTCTCTTTCTTCCCCTAACTCTAATCATAAAGCTGCTTTGCTTTTGTTCATATTTCCACTTGTACATTGTCTTTTAACTACACAGCTACATATAACTCTAGATACAACATTTTGATATAAAATGAATAATTTCTAAAGCAATCTATGACAGACTATAATTATATCTCTGCCTATTCTGTGACTCATATTAATGTAGATGCTACAATTCACACAACCCCCTGCAACAAGTGTTACTAGGAACATGTAACAGCATGATGGTGTGAAATTATTACTATTTTTCAATTAATGAACATCCAATATTTGTCAATGTCTAATACATATTAAAACTGTATCATTTGCTGTTCCCTAAATTAGGCCTTAAACCTTTTCTGTTCATTCAAAAAACAGGGTTAATGTTCTGGGGAAAGAAAATGGGTATCTACTGATCTGTTAAAAATCAAACAAATATATAAAGGTATTTATGAGCCATAGACAATAAACAAACACTTCTCATAGCATACTATATTTTTAATCTAAACAGATTAAATTCAAAGTTTAGCATTATAAAAAAGTATCAAATTCTAACTGAAAAAACACATAAACATTCCTACGCATTCTGGTTATCTTCTCCTTGTGCCCAAAATGTCTGGGTAAAGACTCATTTTATATTGCTCCAATTGAATCTACATAAAGTCATCCAGTCATGCATTATTAGGCAACTATAAATGCAGATATAAATACAATATAAAGGCCAGATCAGAACATGATCACCAAAAGCTATTCTACATATTGTCCAGCAAAGCTTCTGTTAATGAATTAAAAAGAATATTGCTCATTGTTAACATTCACAGCTATCCACTTTACTTTTTTCATATATACAATCAGTTACTTTATCCATTGGTCTCTTTGGCTAAAATCTGTCCAAAATCAGAAAGTCAAGGTCTTTAAAGTGATTCTTTCTTCTTTAAAAGCTTTTGGTATAAAGGACACAGCTACAAATTCTTATTCCTTTAAGGCATTACAGAAATGAAGTGAAAAATCCTATCTCTAACAGGTAGGAAGGAAAGGTATGAAAACTTGTAAGATCATCTCCCAGATGGCAAGAAAGATGCCCTAAGGGAGAGCTTGGCCTGATTTCATCTCCTTACCATAACTGTACATAATTTGTTCAAGTTATAGTTTTATCTTCGTAAGACCTGGGGCTCCTAAGTCTCATATCTTAGCCTAGCCATGTGTAAGAAGAAGCAAAGACTGACAAGCTTGTTTCAGCTTCTTTGTTTCCTTACAATTACATCGACAACGCTGAACAAATGTGTCCTTTTATTGCTTTATTATACCTATTCTAAGGCTTAGCAGAATCAGTTGTGAGTGATAGAATGAACTTCCTTTCCCTTTACTGGCTGATTAAACCATCCCAAAACAAAATGATAGAAACTAAAATAAACATATCTTATACTCCTGCCCTCTAGAAATTATAGGAAATTCAAGAAGACAAAAGTGTTTTTGTTCAATCTATTGTGGTTGCAGTCTAGTTGTACAACTATATTCTTGAGAAACGCCACTCATCTTTTTCAACAAAGCACCCTAAACATTAGTAGAGAAAAGTCTCTGTTCTTACATAAGGTGCATAAATCATCAACATTTTTAAAATTCTTTATGTGGCCTTAAGAAATTGCAACCTCAAACATAGATTATGTAGCATTGTGAGTTCAGTAGACTTCAGATCAAGCTGGTTCAATAATATTATTAATGGTTACATAGAAAATAAGCAATTCTACTGAAAAGGAATATATATATATATATATATATATATATATATATATAT